AACAGATGAAGCCAAAAGCTCGCAGCGAGCACTAATGACAACATTCCAAACACATCTTCACTGGCGCGAAATAGAAACAATTTTCTTTTGAAGACGAGAACTTCTATCCGTTATTTTCTCCAAAAATCTGAAGAAATGACCAAAGAAGGTAAAGATCTATTATAGGAGATACCTCGAACACTTGAGAAAGTTAGAACGCAAATTATTGAGAACGTTGCAAAGGCATGACTGATTCTCCAGAGATTGATATTGCTTTTATAAAATCTAGTGGCCAATTTCGTAATGAATACCCCCACTCTACCTGCAATTCTTCAATCCATCGTTCAAGAAAAGTGTCGCGAGTAATAACAGAATGATAGGGTGGCCCGGAAAATAAGACAACCCATATTACACATCGCCGTACGCTGAAACGCGGTAACATTAAAGGGATGATACGCCTGGCAAACGCTACACGAACTGGCGTAAGGGTTGTTCGTGAAAGGACAATATTCGTTGAGTAATACGATGAACGCCGTTCGAAAGCAATGTTCCGCAGCGGGGAGAGAAAATCGTAATTGATTTCTGGGAACTACCGTCTTCGCTTGTGATCACACAGCGGATGCACTTCTGATTCAATTTGTAGCACACTCTGACGGGCGTTCTTCAGCGTGCTCGTCACATCCCGTGATCCAGCTTATTTTCGAAATGTACTCGTGGAACGTCAAAATGTCAGCGGTTGCAAGCGTTGGCCCTCTGGAGCGCGAGAATTTTCTGCAGTGAGTGTGCGTGTGTCGGGGGGGGGGTGAGTAGTATCCTACCAGCGTGCACCGCGCTAAATTGCCACATTGTTAGAACAATTTCTGGTATCCACAGCCAGAGCCGCCGGCAGCGGGCACCAGAGGGCAGTTTCCTCTCCCACCGCGCTGCACGGGCACCTGGCGGGTGCGTTCAACACATCGTCACCGCCTTACACTCGCCGTTACGCGCGCTGCCTCGGCCAAAGACGCCTCCGTGCGCAGCCCACCGGGTGTAAAAGCGCCCGCCACCTAGGAGCAAGGCAGGAGTAACAAAGAACTCTCTAAAGAACTATAACAATTGAAAATTAAATCCTTTTTGTAATGATAAATACTGCAGAACTTTGTTTTCGGCCCGAAAGCTGCAAGCTCTGAGGATGATCGCTACGCGATCTAAGCGATCATCAGTCCAATAAAATTGTTGATACCGGACAACATGTTTTATTTATCATAATAATAGAAGGTATCTACCTCACCAGCGATCTAATTAATCCTTTTTGTAACTAAACATTGAACCGAAAATGTGGGGGCTCGGGTTATGCACCAGCGCGATTATATTCTAAGTGCCAATAACACTTTTACAAGGCAAGTAAAATACATTCCATTACCCTAATTCAATAGCATGTTATGTCCCCTTCAACATCATTTAATGGTTAGAGGATTTAACAATGAAATAGCGATATCATACATCTGAGAATAAGTACTCGAAAAAACGTTGATTTTTGCTGTTCGCACTAACGCACGACTGTCCGGCAACAAGTAAAGATAAAAACATTCCCGCTTGACTGGCATTGCGGTCTGGCAAAGAACTACTATTCTAGTACGTTTCCAATAGGCAACAGAACTCCATAGAGCTGCAAATCAAAGGGCTCGCATTGGGAACTGGGCCCGGGTTTGAGTACCTTTCTCTACTCATGGCAAAAAATTCAAAATAAGGTACTCCCAAACATAGAGAACCGAAAGCAATTCCGAATAAATATTTCAAGTACATATAATAGCATATCATTTCACCAAATTATCACCAAATTTCTTTTTTGAGCTCTCTTCATCTTGTTTGTATATTTTTAATTTAGGAAGAACTGGAGTTGAAAATGTACGTATCAAATCACGCTCATCCAATTTTGATTCAACATATGTATTATGTTAGGCTGATCTCCCATCCTCTCCATCAGGTTATCAGAATGGGAGTGGAAAACAAAATGGCGAGGGAAGGTAAAGTTGCTTGGATCCGTGGCTCGTTTCGTAGAGGGCTGCTGTAGCACTCGCTTGGCAGCGAACACAAAGTCACCGATCAGAGAATTCGAACGTAAGTAATTAGTTAAAACAACTTTTCCAAATGAAGGAAGGTAAACGAAAACTAGGCTCTTTTTGAGGGAGGGGGAACATGACTTCCCTCTCTCCCCCCCCGCTGGATCCACCAGTGCAAGTTAAACTCATTAAATAACTTTCTGGCACAGCTCAAAATCGTATGTGCTATCTACAAGTGAATCGATAATCTCTATTGTTGCTCTCTATCGTTGGATCGTTATTGCTGAAACGCGCGAGTGTCCATCTGTGTGCATGTGTGTAATTTTTACGAGAGTAGGTAGAAATCTTAAAAAGACACTGGGTAGCTCGTACTACACAGCGTGTGAGATTATGACTCACTAAAACGAAACCTTCTTTCTCCTCCACCCTCCGCATGCATGAATGTGGGCGTCTCTTTGCATGTGTGTCTCTCTCTGTTCGTGTGTGTGTCTTATTGTGCATGTGTGAGTGTCTCTGTGATGTATGTCCACCTACGAGTATTGAAGTCTGTGTATGTAAGGCTGTGTGTGTGTCTGTTTGTGTGTCTGTTTGTGTGAGTGGCTACTTCTGTCTGTGTGCGTGTATTTGGTTTGGAAATTACTGCTGGCATCGTTGCTCCATGAAACGCCTGACTGCTTAGAGTACGTAGCAGAGAAAGGGTAAAATTCATTTGGGCCCCGTGCAGGGGATGAGTTGCAAAAACGCGACCGCTGGCAGCTCATCAGGAAGGCAACCACGCAACAGAGGCAAACTACGTCAAATTACAAAAAGCAGCAAAGCGTGTCTGCCCTTCCTTTCTCTCCGCCCTGAGCTCCAAGCGAATGTCACACGTTGCCTTCTGGCGTCGTACAGACAACTTTCGGAGACAGTGTGGGCGTTAAATGGGTTCTCGTTATGTAGTCAACGAATTGTTCACCTTTAATGAATCTCAGAGAGGCGTCACGTACTTCTAGATGGAAGGAAGACATGGAAAAACTTAATAAGCATGAAAGTCAATCGGTCAAATACTAGATTACATAAGCGTCTCTCAAATTAAAATACCATATCTAATTACAGCAATATAGATAACTCCATAGAAAGCTACTTGTCGACTCCCTTCTGCTACAATATGACTGCCCTGTCAAATACAATGCAGAACCAGGTCGCGGTAAAAGGTTTATTCGTCTTATTTGAGTTGCTTAAATTGTTTGTGCAATTTTTAGTTTATGTTATGGCTGTTTTTTGTTGCACTAAATGTTCTTTACATCTTTTTAATTCTAACCACCAAATATCTGACATAGCTAATAAATGATATTTTTATCTAAAGATATATATTTGTGAGTGGTATAGTGGTATAGTAGTAATGTTTTCTATGGACATGCCGTGTAGTAACTATCGTAAATCTTCGGGACGAACTTGCAAAGAATGTTCTGTAATTGTCAGTGGGCACTCCTAGTTGGTTCTGTTGATATCACATGATAAACACAGAGCTCAACTATGTACAGTTTCTGGTAGTGAAAACGAATTTAAGCATACGATATATGCTTGTGACAAATTATTCGTTTATGTACTGAACACTAGATCCTTTATGTAGTTAGGTATATAAAAAAAATTCATTAAATATTAGAATTTCAAAAAATTAAAAAATTAAATACATTATAAAAATGTCTCAAAATTACCTAGTACTTGGGATCTAACAGATCTCAGTATGATGTGTAACACAACAGTATTAGTGAAGTTACAACCTCAAACTTTCTCATAACATTTTTACAATTACATAATATTATACTAGTTGAAACCGCAAAAATTTTTCAAAAGAGTAAAATAAATGAGCCCGTAGTTATTTTAATATGAGAAAATAGACTTTTATTCGACTCTTCAATTAACTCAGGCCAAGTATGACATAACTCACGGTTATTGAAAAAAAGGTGAAATTTTCTAATTTTCAGAGATTTTAATGGAAAGATCATCTGTCATAATATTACGTGCCTTTCGATCTGTTTGTGAAAAATGTCGTTATTTAGAAGCATATTTTTTTATTTTACGCGCTCATTATTTCCATCAAAATTACGCAAAACTACTCCCACTTTCAAAAACGTGCACTTGGCATTATTTAAACATTAAATTTTCACGTCGAGAATCGATAAATAAAATCTACGTTAACAATATAGTTGTAAAACAGAGTTGGAACAATTAAGAACTCCTATAATTTTCGTTTCATTCAAAATAGGACTTGCGGCAGTTTTCTAACCGCACTTTGCTCTAGTCGACTGAAACATTTAAAGAAAAAATGGAGGAGTTGCGCAAATTTTGAAAATATTGAAGTTCATTTACGTAACTACTAAATTCGATGGTCTGCGAAGTCAGACCGATAGGGTAATATCCATTTTGATGAATCCTCAGTGCACGGGGCGCTGGTATAGCTCCCCATGAGAGTGACGGATGTACAAAGGTTGATAAAAAACAACACTTTTTCAGAATCAGGGAATCACTAATACTTGGATTTTTACTAATTATACACTACGTATAAAAGATAATACAATACTACGTATATGACAAAGGAAAATTCACTTTTTAGGTAGCAGGGTCCTACAAGTGTCGTCTTTTTCGTTATTTTTTCCTGCCGCATTACATAACTCTCTTGGCTCGGAGGAAACGAGACATTACAATAGTGTCTGTGCGGGGATTTACAAAACATAATTTTCTCGTTACTTTTTCCTGCCGCGTTACACAACTCTCTTGGCTCTGAGGGTACGAGAAAGTGTAGTAGTGTCTGCGCAGGGACTTACAAAACATAATATTTTTCGTGCCTTTTTCATTACACAATTCTCGTGGCATGGAGGATACAAGAAAGAATAAGTGTCTGTGCGGGGACTTACAAAACATCATCTTTTCCGTTACATTTTTTTGCCGCATTACGCATCTCCCTTGGCCCGAAGCCTTCGCGCTAGCGCCACCCACCGCCAGACGCCGCCGGTGTTGGTGTCGCGCACGATGCGGCCCAGCTGGTCGAGCACGTGCTGCGTGGCCTCCGAGTACCACTGGATGGTGGGCAGCGCGCGCAGGGCTGCCTCCTCCTCGGCCACGGCGCTCTGGCCCTGGCCCTCCGCCCAGCCTCTGCGCACCACGCACACATAGCAGTTAGTGCAACTGTGAAATAGTTCGTCAGGGTTGTTGGGGGTCAGGGTCGATGGGGGTCAGGGTCGATGGGGGTCAGGGTCGTTGGGGGTCAGGGTCGTTGGGGGTCAGGGTCAATCATTCGACGAAGGTCAGCCAAAAAGTAATGCCTCCTTTTTTGCTTAAATAAAATTAGTTATGTGAAAAATTTGAACTTGGCACTATTCCTCATTCTTCAACCTACTGCACTACTAACTTTCTACGTCAACGTGTAGCACAGCACTCGCATGCAAAGTAGTCGACACCGATGTTTGTAAATAACAGCGTTATGTTATTCAATTCTTAAATGAAGAAGGTAAAATGCCCTGAAAAAATGTTTACGGTGATGCAACAGTGGATATCAGCAGGGTTCGTTGCTGTAACGAAGCTGAAGATCAAGCAACTTTGGATGACGAAAAGCGGAGCGGCAGGTCAGTGACTCTAGACACTCCATGCAACATTCAGCAAGTCATGACACTATTCGTGGTAACCTTGACTGTTAAAGTGCCAAACGGTGTAAGATGCATTGTTTTTGACTGACCTATATACTACGCCAGGAAAGTCTCTTCACACTATCATCTTGCTGGGGAGAGGGCTAACAACGGAAATGTTGATAGCACGAGCTGAAGCTTAAAACAAAAGAAAACATAAGTTACGTACTCCTCAACAATCGTAACAGAGCCTAAGAAGTGTTGTCCCTTTCATTGTTTCCCAGTGATCTGTTTTCCACGCAAATAAGATTACAATTCTTGAGTAGAAGCCCGTGGACTCTGCTTGTGCGGAGAGACTTTCTAGCGAGCTGCATAGTGCAAGTCTTTCTTTGATATTAACACAGCCAAGGAGGGGGGGGGGTTCGGAGATGAGGGATTTTCCTACGTCACGGTTTAAAAGGGCATACCAACTATTGGTATAAACTCATCGCGACAAAGCCTGGCACATGGAATACAATTATTCTGAAGGTACGAAGTGGATATTGGTAAATTGGCGCAGGCCGTTCCGTGTCGGACCTTAAGTATCTCAACGGGCCATTCTCTTCAACGCTGGGAATCGACTAGGGCCCTTGTATATCAAGAACTCTTACGCCAGCGATAAATAACTTTTTAAACAAGTGAGAGCAGGAGACCTTAAACTGCTAACCTCATTAAGACCCATGGAAGTTGCTACAATGAGTAGATGAATACGAAGCTCGTGACGAGGTGCATTTTGATGGAGAAGTAGTCGAAGGAAAGAAAAGGGAAACAGGGGAGCATCAACACAACCTGTAGAGTGTTCTCTTTATTAAAAAAATCCACGTGCATTGACCTGGAATCAAAACCAGGTCCCATAGAGTAAGGCGCATGTGTTTGGCATTACGCCTCAAGCCAGTCCACCTGCAACAGTAGATCGATGGGGCAGGATGTCCGGAAACCCATGGAGATCGGGAAACTTGTGGTAAGAGTGGATGAGGGGTCGCCTAAAAAGTTGAAAGGTTAAAAGCAATCTAATACCAAATAGAATACTACACAATACATAGAATAAAACGTTCAATTTTTCAATATACTGAGTAGTTGATATAAATTGACACATCTAAGTACCTAAAGAAATAAGCTTCATAAGAAAATAATGTTAGAGATATTAATGGCAACACTTCGAGGGGTAAATACACATATCATTTACAACCATTCCATCTTCACCTCCTGAATAGCATGAGTGAGGGTAAAGAAATAAATAAAATCTTAATTTTTTATTTTGATCCTATGCAAAAATATTATTTTAGTCAGAAATTTTTTCGATTCATTAGAGATGGCGCATGATGAAAAAAATTTGGCCCCTTTGAGGATTTCCATTCATTTAGAAGTAACCATTAATAATTCAAAATGTCCAAAGAAGGGTGGTAACAATTGAATAACAAAATCGTTTCGTCGTAGTCGTTTTTAAGATCCAGTACAATATTTTTATCATGACTGGCGGAAGGTCTTTTCTACTTTTCTTTATTTTTTAAATTTAAAAAATTCTTAATAGTCGCACCAACATCAGTGAGTAAATTTATAGTCTGAAACGTGAAAAAACATGCCTAATGGAGTCCGAAAAATTCCTTTTTTAGGGAAGAATAACACAAAATTATGAGAAGGTAAATTAGCAATTGAATTTATTTTCAGGAATCAATTTTCAATTGTGTTAATTACTCCTAAACCAAGATTGTGGGAAGACGGGTTAATTTGTAAAACCAGCAGTTCTTGGGCTTTTAATCTTTGCAGTCCGTTGGCTACCAATTGGATTTTAATTCTCTAATTGACTGTTTGATCTGTTAAAGCTCGGGCATGTCAAGGGTCGAACGAAAGATGAACATCTCTTCTGCGGTTCGGAGATTTACTCTAATATAATTTCGCCTTTCCAAACCCTGAATGCCCTCTCGTGAGTAAATCTTTGGTCTTCAGAGGAGGTGTGCTTCATCTCTCACTCGAGATGTTCAACTCTCGCCCATGAAGAGCTCATGTTAATGTTCGTCTTTGTCCACACGCAAATGGACGTCCATTCAAGTGTCCTCATTAAGCAATTATTGTTTAAGAGAAGCTGTTGTTTATGATTTTTTAACGTTTCTTTGTACTTACAGAATACACGAACACTTCTCATATTTTCAAAAAATTATACATAATATTTCTTAAAATATTAATATTATTTATTATTATCTGACCTTGACGAATAGACTTCACTAATAAAAAAAATATCTGCTCTCATCCCTTATCGTAATGAATCGATTCCGACGTCACGAGATTGGTGAACGAAAGCGAAGAACGAGTGGCAGGAACGAGGGCATTCTCTTTCGTAGTTAAAATGAGTATGATGAGGGTTAAAATACATGGACCGAAGATCGGAACTCGTCATCAAACTTGGATATGTTTAGTGAAGCGTCAACTTGGCTTAAAGTTTAATGTTATTGATACGACGTCATTCCGCCCGCGGGGCCATGTTTTCATTTGCCATGATCTCGCGGAAGTGATCAGATTCCTTCACGTTCGTTTCAATAAAAGTAAAGAGGGAAAATTTGTCTTCAATATTGTAGTTGGTGGAGAGGATCGAATATTTTGAACATTGATCGAAGGCAAAGACGCCATAATTTTCTGCAAAGTCCTTATGCCCGAATCTGTTATACGCGAAACGCGGTTTCTCGGTTTTCCATGCTATCTTTGTTTTCCATGTGCGAAACAGCTGCACAATGTGGGCAACATCGCGAAGCTTGTGGGAATCATCTGTAACGATTCACAACTTCTTTTATCTTGACGTTGTTTTTGTTCATTATTTACAAACAATAGTGTTACGACACTGACGGGAATCCATGTTCTTTCGAACAAGTAAGGTACTTCCAGTTATTTGATATATAATCTATAATCCTTTACTTGACGTATTGCGTTTCGCTCACGACGTGTTAAAAAACAAAATACGCAACACGGGCGCGAGGTGATTCCCGCACTCGTCTCTTGACTCGTGAGTGATCACCTGTTTCGCGCCCTTGTTACGTTAACTACTATATTGAATGTGCTGGGGAAAATTGAACGTCAATTTTATGATTTCAGGAAGCAAGGCAAAGCCTTTGGAAATATTCGCGGAAAATGTAAGTACAACTAATTTCAATCATACAATTTGAGATGTAGATACTGGAAAATGTCTGAATCAGAATCAGTAGCTGAAGGGCTAGAAATAGTAATGAATTAATATTATTATAAATATACTGTGCTTTAATTTTTTTGTGCTCCCAGCGCACTGGAAAATTTAACTATTGTTTTGCAATGATGGTGCGTGCAGGTTTATTATGTACAGTTAAGGGAATTTATTACTTATTTAAAAAAATGAAATGTGTATTAGCAATAATTTTCTTTTTTATGCAATTGCAATCTACTGACTCAATTTCCAAGCGCATTTAGTCTCCATACAGAGACCTAAGGTAGAAAACATATTTACTGCATCATATCTCAAACAAAAATTTGCTTGATCATGCAACAAAATAATTAGTTAATATTTCATTAAGAATTTGATTAGTATGATGCTTATTTGTTAGAGTAGTTACAGAGGTTGGCAAAATAATATGAACCATGTTTACTACAGCGTTTTTCAATTGGCGCCCCTGCGGACGTGTAAGGTCTGCGAAGGGGCTGCGTTGCACAGTTGAAGGTTGTATTGCAGTGTATTACCGGCTTTGGTCCGTAGACCAAAGGGTGAACACAAGCGATCAGTGAAGTGTGTGATTTCTCAGACGTCTAAATAGGGTAATTCTTCGGTACGCGGTTAGCGGGAGCATCTGTGATGAAAAATCTGAACTGTTTATCGTTTCACCCGTTAGCGCCCGCATCCACCGTAATGACCCATGTTTGCCAACTGGTGGAGAAATGACGTCAGGGCAGCGTTCTCCTCCGCGATCCTTCGCTCGGAGAAGCAGTGCGAGCAAAGAGGGGAGGGGCAGTACGTCAGGAGCTTCACAAAGCTAACATACATAGAAAGTATGCGGTTATATTTGGAATTCTGGACCTCTATCTCCTATCTACTAGTCCTGTTCGTGAAAACAATTAGCTTGTAAACTCTGTAAAGCAATTAAAGTATTATCCGTACAAATAAAGACCTGAACGGTCAGTGAGAAAACCGAACACATTTCTATATCATCTCCAGAGAACACAAAAGAAACGAGAATGGTGGTAGAAAAGAAAAGACATTTGCGCAATCTCCCAAATAGGCCACTAGATCCATTCTCAGGAAATGGAGATGCATAAGAGCACGAGAACTATGATGATATTTGACGGAAGGCCAGGCATTGAAGATGTCGAAGAGATGAGTAAGGTTGCGTGGCGATTGTAGAGCTATGCGTTTTGTGAAAAGTCGACAACCGCTCGGGGTGCTACCTGCCCTAGCGCGCGGAGTAAGACAGAGAACAACGCGGCACCACTTTGTGTGTCTCTGAAGCCACCATGGATCGTGAGATGTTCAGGTCAGTTCGTCGTCGGTCGGGCGTCGTCTCCCTGGGCGTCGTCCGTCGGCGTCGTCGTCGGGCGTCGTGCGTCGGGCGTCGTCCGGTCGGGCGTCGTCGTCGGGGCGTCGTGCGTCCGGGCGTCGTCGTTGTCGGGCGTCGTGTCGTCGGGCGTCGTCGGTCGTTCCGGGCGTCGTCGTTGTCGGGCGTCGTCGTTGTCGGGCGTCGTCGTTGTCGGGCGTCGTCGTTGTCGGCGTCGTCCGTTGTCGGGCGTCGTCGTTGGTGGGCGTCGTCGTTGTCGGGCGTCGTCCGTTGTCGGCGTCGTCGTTGGTCGGGCGGTCGTCGGTTGTCGGGCGTCGTCGTTGTCGGGCGTCGTCGGTTGTCGGGCGTCCGTCCGTTGGTCGGGGCGTCGTCGTTGTCGGGCGTCGTCGTTTGTCCGGCGTCGTCGTTGTCCGGGCGTCGTCGTTGTCGGGCCGTGTCGTTGTCGGGGCGTCCGTCGTTGTCGGGCGTCGTCGTTGTCGGGGCGTCGTCGTTGTCGGGCGCGTCGTTGCTCGGGCGTCGTCGTTGTCGGCGTCGTCGTTGTCGGGCGTCCGTCGTTTGTCGGGCGTCCGTCAGTTGTCGGGGCGTGTCGGTTGTCGGGCGTCGTCGTTGTCGGGCGTCGTCGTTGTCGGGCGTCGTCGTTGTCGGGCGTCGTCGTTGTCGGGCGTCGTCGTTGGTCGGGCGTCGGTCGTTGTGGGCGGTCGTCGTTGTCGGGCGTCAGTCGTTGTGGGGCGTCGTCGTTGTCGGCGTCGTCGTTTTGTCGGGCGTCGTCGTTGTCGGGCGTCGTCGTTGCTCGGGCGTCGTCGTCGGTCGTCCGTCTTTCTCGGAGTCGTCGGTCGGTCGTCTTCGGTCGTCCGGTCGTCGTCTTCGGCTCGTCGGTCGTCGTCTTCGCGTTCGGTCGTGTCCGTCCTTCGGGTCGTCGGTCGTCGTCCTTCCGGTCGTCCGGGCGTGCGTCTTCGGTGCGTCGGGCGTCTGTCGGGGTCGGCGTCCGTTCGTCGGGGCTGTCGGTCCGTCTGTCTTCGGTCGTTCGGTCGTCGTCTTCCCGGATCGTCGGTCCGTCACGTCTTCGGTCGTCCGGTCGTCGTCTTTCGTCGTCGGGTCGTCGTCTTCGGGGTCGTCCGTGCGATCGTCTTCGGTCGTCGGGTCGTCGGCTTGTCGTCGGTTGTCGTCGGTTGCGTGTCGCTCTGGCGCTGCGCGTGATAGCTCCTTCGTCACGTACTTTCAATGCATTCTGGAGATCCAGAAATTTTTGCGAG